CTCCTAATGTTAATTCTGTTGCTCCAGTTCCATCTCCCGGGGCCACACTTCCGGATTCATCTCCCATAATCACCTCTCCTCTAACACAATCCTTTACTCCTACCGCCTTGTTGCCTATTTGAAAGTCTATAAGAATAGTTAAACCTCCTTCTTAGTGTAAAGATTTTTCTTGTCCTACAATCCATACCTCCATTTTAGTTTTATCAATAGTCCTAAATATCCTATTCAACAGTTCATATCCTATAATTATCTTTCATCTTTTCGCATAGCCTTTGTTTCTTCTATTTCTTCTAGAGCCTAGCTCATACTCAAAAGCCATTAAAAATCCTAAGTGGATAGATGCCATGCAATAGGAAATATAAGCACTTGTGTTTAACAAGACATGCATATTGGTTCCTTTACTAGTGGGTAAACATCCTATATGTTGTAAATGGGTTTTAAGGTGAAATTTAATCCCGAGGAAGTGTGGAAAGGTATAAGGCCGAGTTGGTGGCCAAAGGTTACACTCAATTAGAAGGGGTAGATTATAGTGAAACCTTTTCTCTTGTAGTAAAAATGGTTACCGTCGAACGGTAGTTGCTTTAGCGATAATGCATAATTGGCCATTGCATCAATTAGATGTTTTAAATGCTTTTTTGTAAGAAGATCTTATAGAGGAGGTTTATATGACTCGTTCCTTAAATTTTTGGCGGTATGGGGAAGGGCTTGGTGTGTAAGTTGCTTAAGTCTCTTTATGGCTTGAAGCAAGCCTCTCGATAGTGGAATTCTAAAGTCGCTGAAAAAATGTTGCTTGTTGGTTATACTCGGTCTCAACATGATCATTCCATGTTTACCAAAAGGATAAATGAGAAAATAGTTATGTTAGTTTATGTCGATGACATTTTAATAACTCGGAGATGATATGGATGGGATGGAGGCACCGAAGTTGTTCTTGCATCGGACTTTTTACATTAAAGATCTTGGCAGTTTGAAGTATTTCTTGGGTATACGAGTGGCTAGGTCCACGATAGGTAATTGCCTTAATCAAAGGAAATACACCTTGGAGCTTTTACATGATGCATGTTTACTTGGTGCCAAACTAGTGGCAATGCCCCTAGAACGACACTCGAAGCTCACATCTGCAGATTATGATGAACATATGGTTAATGATTATCCGGATCCATTTTTTCCGATCCAACGGAATACCGGTGCTTGGTGGGGAAGCTTATATATCCGACTATCATTCTATTAGATATATGTTATGCAATCTAACTTTTGAGCCAATTCATGTATAAACCTAAGGCTTCCCATATATATTCCGCCTTAAGAGTTCTCAACTATCCGAAGGGAGCTCTTAGTCTTGATATTCTATTTCCATCTTCCAATTAGTCACAATTGATTATTTATTGTGATTCGATTAGGCTTCTTGTCCAATGACAAAGAGATCTATTACTAGTTTCTGTGTTTTCCTTGGCTCATCTTTATTATCCTGGAAAACTAAGAAATAACATACCATTTCTCGATCTTCTATCGAAGCCGAGTATCGAGCAATGATAGCGACTACATGTGAGCTTGTTTGGATTGTTGCCTTGTTGTAGAAGCTTGGTGTTTCGATTTGGGAGTAGTTGCACTTCATTATGATAACAAGGTTAATTAACATATTTCCTCTAATCTAGTATTCCATGAGCAAACTAAGCATATCGAAATAGATTATCGCTTAGTTCGGGAGAAGCTCAAAACTGGATTGATTAAACCCGCTCATATTGCCATTGATGAACAAGTGGTAGATATCTTCACTAAAGGCCTTGAAAGCAAGCACCATCATTATCTTTTATCTAAGTTAGGTGTTTATGACATTCATAAACCACCCACTTGAGGGGAGTATTGAGAATATAATTAGTTAGTTAATTAAGGGTTAGTCGGTTAGTTACTTATTGCGGTTAGTTGTTGTAAAATGTTAGTTACATAACCGACTTAGCTAGCTTATTTTTCCTTGTAAATATATACTCGTGTTACATGGATAAAGAAAATATAACCGAACAAGATATTTTTTCACTTCTCTCTGTTTTGCTTGCTCTATCTTACGTCTCGCTTCTTAACATTTTCAAACTACGTTTTGTTAACTCTTCTACGAGACAATAAAAAAATAGTACAAATTCTGGTTCAATTTTCATCCGTACAATGATTATAGAAACAAAAAATTGCAAGATTTCTTACCATAAAATTACATGGGAATCTAGAAGGAACCACAAAATCATTACAATTGTAGCACAATTAGGAAGTAAGAGAAGCGAGTAGATTATAGAACTTTGAATTAACATAATAAAATTCCAAGCCTACAATGTTCTTAAATGTAGTATGATTTTCTTCATTATACAAGAACCCATCAATGATGAACTCTTGTTATCACTTTGCTGCATCACTTGTTATAGAAGCTTCACAATTATCTTAGAAGGGACAATCTTTCCTTCTTTCTTGAAGTTTTGAATCATTGTTCTATAGAAACAATGAGCGTGGCAAAAGAATCTTACGAACATAAACACTTTGTGGAACAAATGATGAGGAATTTACAAAAAATGCAACCAATAATTTACGACCAACAAAACAATATAATAAAAAGAAGAAAAGTAATAATGATGAGGATGTGAGAATCATGGTGCGATAAGGTATTGCCCCGTACTTGAAAAATATGCATGTGGTAAAAATTAAAGATTTGATAATCCAACTTATTTTCAAATTCGGACTCAATTTCTAGTTGAAGAAGATCACCAACGTAAAGATGTGTAAACCCAAAGTTTTCAACAATTTTGGGACATTGGGTATTGTTTCCTCTACCTAGACCACCAACCAAAACTATAATCAAGATTATTGAACTTCAATCAATTGAGATGATAGAATGATAAGCTAACGGATCAACTCCTAGAAAAGCACAAATGAGCACCTAGTAAAATAAAAATAAATCAATAGTATCCATCTTTAGATAACAACAAGGAAACAAAAATAGATATAGATGGTGTTTAGTTCCTTACACCGGTACTTATTGAAAAAAGAAGAAGAAATAATCATGAAGTGCTATAGAATGCTCACCTAAAACAAATACCACCACGAGTGGTTTCCCTTGAAGAAGTTCACTTCCATCCCGCTAGTCCCGCCACCAAAACACTAAATGTTAACGCATATAATGATGGTAACAAAATATACTAAAAATAAAGGAATTTTAATAACTCAAAGAATCTTACATTACATATACATGTTAAGATATACCATTGGGGTATTTCTTATTAACTCGCAAAAGCATCACAGGAAAGGAAACATAAATATATAATAGGAAAAAAAAAAAACCAAAACAAACGGTAATCAAGATTATTGTTATTCAATATGAAAAGGAAACACCATAAGTGTAAAGTAACCATGAAGAAAATTTACGAGTTTTTTTTCTCTAAATAGGATAATTTTTAATCTATTTTTTCTAAAATAACATATTTTAAATCTTATTTATAAAAAGGGGTAGTTTTGTCATGTAGGCATCCATGTCATCTTTTTAATTAAGTGTTATAATGCATATTTAATATAATAATTTGAAAAAATTAGAAACATAAAAGAAAAAATTAACTTATATTCTTTGTTTCTCTTTTATTATCTTTGCCCTAATTTCTTAAAGTTCAAATACTCCCATAAATCAAAGCCATAATTACTATAAAAAGTTATTTATCATATGTATATCGTCAATTAAGTACTCTTCTAAATTCTCTTGTTTTTATTTATTTAATTTCGATAAAATTTTCTTTTTTCCAATCCAAAAGATGTAGAAATTATTGCTTGACAAATTAGGTTTTGATTATCGCCTCGATTTATTAATAGTAATTCATTTTTATGTAGAAAAATATATCATGATCAATTGTTTGCATTGGTTTAATTAATTCTCTTCCATTACTAGGTGTTTTGGAGAAGAGAGAATCTAAAAAAACTAAAATATATAAAGAAAAAGAAAACCCTCAGCACTTACACACACACACTCTCTCTTATATTTTTTTTGCATTGCAAAGAGAGAAGAAAAAGAAAAAAGCAAAAAGAAGTTTGAGCGTCTCCTCAATCTCTTGCGATAGCGAAAAAAACTAGATGAATCAAATTTGGTTCCAAGACTGGAACTTTTTATCTTGGAATAGAACAAAATGGCTTCAAAAGGCAAGTTATTGCAAATGAAGACAATTATGATGGAGTTACAATGGGTGGCGAAGTGTGTCAAATAGTTGGTTGTGAGATGGAGTTGCCTTTCTTGAAAAAAGCCGGAGCAAATTGATGGGGTTTTAAGAGATGGGCTTGTTGGTGGTGAGATTTTAAAGATAAAAGCTTTTTGGGTTTTATTGGATGACTCATAGGAAGGTGTGGAGAGAGGGATTAGAAGTGATGATGAAGAAGTAGAGGCCATGGCCATGGCTTTTTGTGTCCGGTTATGAAGGTGTTAGTTTTCCGTTTGGTAGTTGAATAATTACCATTCAAGAGATTTTCATCTTTCAAGGATTATGATATTGAGCTACATTGGGAGAGAAAATAATAACCTTGGTATTGGTCTTCGAACCTTTTTTTTTTTTTTTAAGAAAAAAGATTGAAGAAAAGTAACAATTTGACATTTCAACGTAGAATATAGTACTTGAATAAGCAACAACGAACGGACTGATAGAGTTGAATGCATGCCCTTGAACAATCAATCTCCTAATCGAAATGCGAGCGCTCATCACTCGTATAGTCGTATCAAAAACTATATTAGTTATGGCATTCATGCAATCCACACTTGGATATTCATGATGTGATGAATCGGCTAACGAAACAAATGGAATAATGAAATAGTACAAGATTATACGAGACTTGCTTATATATTCAATGTCATTCCCCTTCAAAAATTTAATTCTATTAAAAATGAATGTAAAGAAAAAAAAATTCTCTAATGCTACTAGACTGCTAGTTCTCTAATTTAAACCCAGATGATCTACTGTTTGCAAAACTGGAGCTACGAACTTCACTCAAGTATGTCTGTCTAGGAATTTCTCTATCAAAATTGAGAATGCAGCAAACCCAACACAACCAACGCATGCAGCTTTCGAGACACCTTTTGCTGGCATTGTACCTCCGGTGACACATCCAATAATAATTATATTGGTGGTGTCAAGCTTCGCCCGAGCCTTCTCAACAACATACTCAGCAGCTGAGAAAACCAAGACCATAACTGCAAACGTTTTACAAGAACTCCAATTCCTTCGACCCATTTTCTTCGCATTATAAATAAATTGCTGCTTTCATGTCATCTCATCTTGCATAATAGGATTATCCAATGCGTCTAGAAACAGTCCCATGAGCAACCCCAACCCACCTCCCATGACTCCACTAGCAACATTGCAAACAGCACGGTTATTCCAAACTTCTTGGGCACGGACCTCTTCTATTGTAGGCATTCCAAAAGGCTGAATCTGTGGGGGTGTTTCTCGATCTTTTGGAGGCGAAGAAGCAGCAGCAACATTATTATTAGAGTCACTTCCTGAATTATCATTGCTTGCGTTCGATAAAAGTCGTACAAACAAGGACCCATCAAAATTGAACAAATTAAAAGGCTAAGAAATAATTAAATTTTATATGGCATGGAGGTTAAGATGGGTTTGGGGTTAGCCGCCATTGCATGAGCGGTGTTGGGGTTTAGCTGAGGTTTCAGGCGATCTTTTGGAGGCGAAGAAGCAGCAGCAACATTATTATTAGATTCACTTCCTGAATTATCATTGCTTGCGTTCGATAAAAGTCGTACAAACAAGGACCCATCAAAATTGAACAAATTAAAAGGCTAAGAAATAATTAAATTTTATATGGCATGGAGGTTAAGATGGATTTGGGGTTAGCCGCCATTGCATGAACGGTGTTGGGGTTTAGCTGAGGTTTCAGGCGACTGGTCTTCGTACTTACGGTTTGTTTGTGGTTGTATTAAAAGTGTTAAAGATTAATAGAAGAGATGATTGAGAAAATAAGAAAATTAATGATATAGATAAAAAAAGTTAGAGAGAGATAAGAAGAGAAGATGAAAAAGAGACTAATACAAAGAAAAAAGAGTAAAAAAAGAGTAGATTAGCATGTGATGATAAAACATTTATTTAAAAAATACTTTTTTGTAAAAAAACTGACATGTTAAATTATATAAATGAGATGGTTCTTATGTAGCATAAAATACCTTATTTTGATAAATAAGTTTGAAACTAACCTACTATAGTAACTAATATTTAAAAGTGCATTATTACGAAAAAAAACTCGAAAATTTACCTTAGTGATATCTTTCTAAATTGCACAACAATCCTCCATTTTTCATGCACAATTTGGATACAAATAAATGAATGTGAGAACAAATAAAGTTTGCGAGAAGGAAAGTTAAAACCTTAACATTTACAAGCATTCCACTCATAGAAATGAACACTTCATTCTATTCTATATAGGAAAATGATAGCCTTCTAGCATATGTTTTTAGTTAGATATTACAAAAGAGTAAAATGGTTGGAATTTTGGGGGATAATAACCACCATGTTAAGCAAAAAATCAAACATTTTAATGAGATGATAAACCTAGAAAATTAATCAAGCAATTCCGTTATCATATGAAAATCTAACCACTATATGGATATAACTCTTCATAGTATTGAACTTACAAAAAACAACAAGAATGCGGAATTTTAGAAAAATTTACCCAAAAGACCTTCATAAGTCAAATGATATCATTGTGACAGTAAAAAATAGTACAAATCAAAGCAATAACAAAGAAATGTCTACCACCTATAAAAACCAAAAAAATCACATATTTTGATCCAAAAGTGTCATCACTCCTTATGTCGGGCACCTAAATAAACTTTTGTTTGACGAGTACAACACTTATAGAAATTCGACCTTCAATCCTCAAATCCTTTTGCTCAAAAAGTCAAATCCGAATGTGAGATTTTTATACCCATGAAATTAGAAAGAAAATAAATAATTAGCTTAAATTTCAACACCCCATTAACAAACAACACAAATTAACCGAGACTTAGGAAATAAAATTTTAGAAAATATACGAGAAACCATTTCTAAAAGAGAGAAATTCAATAAAATTAGTCATTAACACTTGAAAATTAAGTACTAAAGTAGCAAAAATTCAATAAGTATGAAGAGAAATCCAATACTCATCCTTAAAGAGAGGAATTATCATAAAATCACATACAATATCATGAACTAGGGAGAGAAATTGAAAGAAAACTACATGTGTGAAAGAAGATAGAACTTGTGACTAATTTTGCTAAATCCTTCAACGAGAAAACCAAATATTTTTCCCCAATTTATAGTTGTTAAGACTTCAATATAACCAATAGTTAATTGATAGATTAAGAAAATAGGAGATATCGAATCCGATATATATATATATATATATATATATATATATATATATATATATATATATATATATTAGAGAGAGAGAGAGAGAGAGAGAGAAGATGTGTTTCATGAGAGAGAGAAAATTAAGATTGTTGAGGTGGTTGAGTTTTTTTTCGTGGGGTCTAAAAATTTTATGTAAACCGTTGCATAAAAGACTTTTATGTAGCGGTTTTAGTAAACCACTACGTATATAAACCATTAGTATTATGATAATTTCATCATAGTCTATATTGATGATATTCTCATATAATAAAAGACTCATGATGAGCATGTGGAGCATCTAACTAAAGCACTACAAACCTTACGAGAGCACAAATTGTACGCAAAACTTAAGAAGTGTGTATTTTGGCTCGAGCGAATAACATTCCTTGGATATGTCATTTCCAAAGATAAGGTTATGGTTAACCCTAGTAAGTACAAACGAGTGTAAGAAAGGAAAAAACCTAAGAATGTATTAGAGGTAAAGAGCTTCCTTGGTATGACAGGATACTATAGGAAGTTTGTAGAAGGATTTTTCAAAATAGCTACTCCACTAACCAAATTAATAAGGAAGAATGCTAAGTTTGAGTGGGATGATGGTCTGTGAAAGGAGTTTCCAAGAGCTAAAGTTTAGGTTTACCACATTACTTATTTTAGCTCTACCTAAGGATAATAAAGACTTCATAGTCTTTACTAATGCATCCGGAATTGGACTTGGTGTAGTTTTGATGCAACATAGGAGAATCGTTGCCTATGCATCTAGGATGTTAAAGGACTATAAAAGAACTATCCCACTCATGATTTGGAATTAGTCGTCATGATTTTTGACTTAAAGATTTAAAGGCATTAGTTGTATGGTGTTAAGTGTGGCATTTATATCGATCATAAGAGCCTCCAATCATCTTCACTCGGAAAGTGTTAAACATGAGGCAAATGAGGTGGCTTGAAGTATTAAATGATCATGACATTACTTTCCATTATCACTCGGATAAGGCAAATGTCATAGTAGACATTTTAAGTCAAAAAGCATTGGCGATTATGTAGGTCCAAATTATAAAGGATATGGTGAGGTTACGGTTAAAGGTTATACCAAGAGGAAGCGAGTGAAATCATGTTGGGTGCTATGATGTTGCAACCTAACATAAGGTAGAGGATTAAAGAAAGTTAGCTATAGGATCCAGAACTAGTTAATGTCTAAAAAGATATAGTTAAAGGAAAAGTTATAGAATATGCCATAGATAACAAGGGATTTGGCGCTATCAAGAAAGGATAATTTTTTTTTTGCCAATAAGAAGCTTTGAGAGGACATTTCGAGGGAAGCCCATGCGAAACCCAATTCCATCCATTTAGGAGGCACTAAAATGTACCGAGACTTGAAAAAGAACTATTGGTGGAAAGGGATGAAACAATACATTGCTGACTTTATGACAAGATGCTTAACGTGTCGACAAGTCAAAATTGAATATCGGAGGCCATTGGGATTGTTCATACCCCTTGACATACCCGAATGGGGAATAGGAGAACATCACTATAGACTTTATACTTAAAATATTGAGATTTAAGAAAGGAGTTGATAGTATATGGGTTATTATTGATAGATTGACCAAGTTAGCTCATTTGTTTACTATGAAGTCCATATGTTTCAAGCAAAAGTATGTCGAGTTATACCTAAAGGAGATCATGAGACTCGTATGGTATTTCGGTCTCGATTATTTCGGATCAAGACCTATGATTCACATAATGATTTTGAAAAAGTTTACATTAGGTGATGGAACTAATCTAAATTTAGCCCAACATTCCACCCTTAAACAAATGGAAAAATAGAGAGGGTGAACTAAATTTTAGAGGATATGCTACGAGCTCGCATTTTGAACTCATCTACTAGATGAGAGAGATGCCTACCATTAGTAGAGTTTGTTTATAATAATAAATACTAGGCTAGCATTAGTATGGAACCATATGAAGCCTTGTACGGATGATGTTCTCGATCACCTATACATTGAGATGATGTTGGTGAACAAAAGTTGTTAGAACTAGAAATGATTTAATAGATAGCAAATGGGGTTAAATAGATCGAGCTAAGAATGAAGATAGCTCAAAGTAGGTAGAAGAGTTATGCTAATTTTTGAAGGAAAGATTTAGAATTTGAAGTCGGTGATAAAGTGTTCCTATGAGTGGCACCAATGAAAGGGGTAATGTGGTTCGAAAGGAAAGTAAAATTGAGTCCAAGGTACATTGGATAATTTGAAATATTAGAGAGGATCGGAGACCATATGATAGGCTCGTATTCTAACCTATAGATTTGAGGCAAGTGCATCTATCGTTCTATAGTATAGTTGATAGAGTATCGAGTTTTGATTCCATAGGGACTACGAGTACTATTAATTGTCCTCTTTTTATTATCTAACCAACAAAGTATAGTTATAGCGAATGATTAAAAGAAACAATAACTAAAGCGAGATCACATAAATGCAACAAGAATAATGAAAATAGCTAACCGAGCAATCAATGGTAAAGGCGAGTACCTAGATAACGAATCCCCCTAAGAACGTCTATGTAATCGCAATAGCATTCATTCAATCATTCTTTATGTTCATCGAACCATAAGAATTCTTGAATTATGCTAACTACTTTCTCAAGTTAGCTAACACCTAATCCCAAGTTGATTAATTGAAATCTCTTTCTAATTAACACCCTAGGATCGCATTAATTTGTTCTACGAATTCCATTATTAGATTTGAATCTAATCCGAAAGATTTATGTCATCCTATCTCTAGGATTGCATGTAACTCTTTTCGGTTATGGTTGATCTAATCACATTTAGGATTTTTTTCGGTCTCATAGTATGAAATCGGTATGAATCAACACGCTAGTATATGCTAATTCAATTAAATAATAATTGCAACATAACCGAATCACAATGAAAATAAAGATTGAATTGAATAAAGATATTAGATCACATAATCAATCTTAGGTTTCATTGTATCTAGGTACCAATATAATTTAGTTCATGGTCAAAGTTAAGAATACATAAA